GCTATCAGCTTGGCACAAAGCTTCACTGCAAGCTGCAGATGCTGGCCTTTGGTCTCCCAATGACACTCTCTGGTCAAAGGCACGGGGACTTTCCCCGCAGCATGTCGGGAGCAAGCTCCCTGTATGTTGGCTGCGTGGCCGTGCTTCATCTGCCTCCTCTGGTGGGGTTGAATCGGAGACCGCCATGCATCACTCGACTCGCCTTCGGCGTATAGCTTCATCGCCTTCAATGGAAACTGCAGAAGCTTCTGGCACCGGACCGTGGCAGGTCTCGTTGAGGTCGGGTCCTCTTTCGACATGTCGCCAGCTCCTACTCTCATCACATCTTGTCACCTGTGCTTGCGTAAATCGCAGCCGCAGTGCGGTGAATGCTGCATTCTGCAGGCCTTACGGATTTGAGCCAAGGCTGAAGAGGGGAACTCTCCTACAAACTTTCAAGGACGTCCCTCCCAACAGACCCTCGCTCCTTGGGGCAACAGCAGAGACCCCCGCGCTTCCTGCGCCGGCGTTGTGGCTACAGAGGGCATCTGCAGCTCCGGATCGTCAGTCTCATGAGCCTCCTTCAGGCAAAGAGCGGGAACAGAAAGACCCAGGAGGGTTTAGGGCTCTAGGGTTTTAAGGTTAACTTGAAGTTCTCGTGACGGATCTTTTGCCCAGTGTCCTCTGAGACCGCAGCGGCTGGCAAAGCCGCTGGCAACGAACCTGGCCCACAGTCGGCTCATTCGGAGCGTCAAAGGGTCATGAACGGAATGTACTTCCATCCGCGGCTCTATCGCCGTGGTTTTCCAAATGGGTGGCGGGGTTTGGCTTACAGCAAGGCAGAAGGAATGAGGTAGTTGCTGGTGCTTCAATGCGAAGGCGAGTGGTATGAACTTGTCTCATCCATCCCGCCCACTTTACACAGCTATACATGCCGCACTGAGAGCACGCAACATCGACTACTTCTGCATTGCCATAGGCAAGCTTGTGGGAGGGCTTTCGCCGCCTTGCGTGTGCAAGGATTGCAGAAGCGTATTGGTCTCCCCGTGCAGCGATTGCAGCAGGGTGTTAAAATCTGCTGAAAACGATGATCGCATCGCCAGCAGGGCATCGTAAATCTTTTGACGAACAAACCGGTTCATTGCAGGGAACCCACCTGCAAGCAGCGCGCAGGGGAAAGACATTACATTGAATCTGCACTGTACTGCTTCAAGTGTTGGTGGCATCGAGCCCTCCCCCTGAGCGAGGCACCTGGCATCTGTGCGACGAGCTCGTCGATCATGTCCTTGTCCTGCACGCAGCAACTCCCCTTGGAATGACACGGTTGGAGAAGCCCCCGAAATGGACTGCTTGTAGGATTGCAGCGCCGTTTACTTGGAGGCCCAGGGGACTTAGTAAGTGGGTTATAAGTAGAGTTATAAGTACCCTAAATGGAGTTCCCCTAATTATAACCCTACTTATAACCGACTTACTAAGTCCCCTGGGCCTCCAATTAGGGTTGCCTGACCCTGCGTGCCAGATCGCCTTCAAGGTTACTCGAGACGATGCGGAGTCCTTCTTCACGGAGGCCGTGGCATCCTCCAAGCGCAGTGTTGCCAGCCGCTCCTGGTTCTACAGGGTTGGACCGCACTATGCTGCTATGAGATCGGGCAAGGAGGGAAACGATACCTACATGTGTATAATCCTGCCCATGCATTTATGACTTGTAAGAACCGCAGACGAACACAGCTGCTAAGACTGCTAAGAATCCTCGAACTACATCACATAGGCTTAGGCCTAGTTCTTGGAGTCACCAGGAGCAAAACTATGGCAAGCCCCACAAACACTCGTAGAAAAAACGGCGCACAAAACCCTAAACCCTAAAACCCCTAAACCCATAGCCTCCCTGCAGATCGAGGCACCGCGATGCGCATGGCCACGTCGACGCCGGCCTTCCCTTCATGGAGCACTCCTCCAAAAGTTCGCTGTCCTACCCTAAACCGCTAAACCCCTAAACCCTATAAGCCCTAAACACCTACACCCTAAACCCCTAAGCCCTAGAAATTAGCACCCCTCCGAAAGCCGCTGAGAAATCGAGCTCCAATGTGCAAGAAGCACTCACGGAAACGTTAAACCCTGTAAAGTTGCAAACTTTATCCCCAAACCCAAAACCCAAGATGCACGGATCTGATCATGAAGCTGAGCCTGATGAGGTACAGAGCCAAAGGCCCTGAAAGTTGTCGGCCTCGTTCTCCTGTGCCCGCGGCTTAGAGCGCAAGACTTGGTGCATCTTGGAAGCTCCCGAAAACCTGTTGTGCAGTCCGTGCAGGATGAAGGAACCCATGCATGAATTCGCCTCCCTCTGATGTTTAGCTCGTTGTCGCAACTCCGATGTCATTCGCCTCGAAAAAACCAGCTGGAAAAGTGCAAAACCCCTCTTCTGGTGCAAAGGGGTTTTAACTGTTTTAGCTTCAGCCTAGAAGGCCAAGAGGTTGGCCCTCGCCTCATTTGTTGAACCACCGAAGAGAATCACTAGGAAGCCTTTCTTCAGTCGTCAGGTTCAATCTTGATTGGGGCCGACAGGCCCTAGGGCTTCAGGACCTTGGGTGATGACTTCAGCTTGAGGAGGGTGCTTACAATAGGAGGCTCCTGCCTGGGGGATCTCTATGCTAAGGGCCCTCCTATGCAGGAAAAGCAAGAATTAGATGTTTCTGAAACTGCCAGGTGGAAGCTTCCGAAGCTGAGCGACCCCAATCAGTGCGATACCTACCCGTTATCTGAACCTCCCACGACATGGGCCTTTAGCCGGGTCTGAAGCACCTCGAAGAGGCACCAGGCACCTAAGCGGCCAAGCATACGAATGGCAATGCTACTACATCGATAAACATACATGTATATGTTAATGTATATGTGCATGTATGTGTGTATGTATATGGGTGTGTGTGTATGTGTGTATGTATGTATGTATGTATGTATGCATGCAACACGTATGTATAATTCCAATACAGTGTGTGAGAGAGAGAGAGAGAGAAAGCTAAACCTGAATGTCTATAGGCGCATATGTATAAGCTAGCTACACGTGTGTGTGTGGAGAGAGAGAGAGAGAGAGAGAGTGAGAGAGACAGACAGACAGAGATGGATATAAGCACACAGAGACACTATGTATACCCATGTGTATGCACATGCACATGTGTATATGCAGCACACAACGTACGTAAGTGCATCGCCGTAGCAGCAGCAGCAACAACAGAGCAACCGAACACCACATTTGCAAGGACACTACGGCAATCATGCGCAACATTTGAGACATGCAAACAACGTTTGGGAAAGAGGCATTCGCTATGTGTCATGACCTTCGTGCGATCTGCTGCAATGCTTTCGTGCACCAGGTGCCGTTGGCAGATTTGCGCACGATTTATTTAACTGGAGTCAACCTTTGGAGTCGAACATTTTTGGAGTCTTTAGCCAGAGAATCGACACAATAGCCTTGAAACACCGTGGGCGCTGATGGCTGAAGGCAACTCCACATTGATCCCCGTATGAGCGATATCTCCAACTCAGCAGCGCACGTGTCAATGGCATGGCATAGTCGTCGACCACCTCGCTTCCATGGACAGCACATCGAAGGCAGCCGACTCAACAAAAAAAGCACCCGTTCGGCTGGACTGGGGCGTGAGCCATAGCCGTTCCACAGCATCTCGGGCTTTTGAGTGCCAAATAGAAGGAGGAGGATTCCCAAGAGATCCCCAGCTCTTCTTGGATCCTCCACTGGTTATTGCTGAAGCTGCAGATCCAGTATGTGATGTCCTCAGGGCTATTCTCTCCATGCAAAGAGAAGAGAAACCGGGCAAACACATGAAGCGGTCGGACTTTGGACGTACAGCAATCGTAGACACATATTAGTATCCATTAAACTGGCCCTTCGAGTCTGCACTTGAGGGGAACTCCAATGCTGCGCCTGCCAGGCGCAGCCATGCAAGCCACATGCGGCTTCCGCATGCTTGCAGATGGAGCGGACGAAATGCGCGAAGGAGGTCCCCCAGAAGTGGGAGCAAAACCAGCCCGTCCTCAGCTCACTGCCAAAAATCATGGCCAAACTCAGGCTCTAAACTGCTGACTGCAGGTCTCCAGAGTTGAATCGACAAGTCATAATATACTCTTGCGGCTCTGCGACTCGTGCGGGCCCGCCACCTCGGCGTAGGAGAGTTGAGCCTCCCTGGTCAGTGGCTTGATGATGTTCGCAACCACGTAGTACAAGGTCCGACTGCGGATGAAGGGCTCGAAAGTGTCGTAGAAGCACCAGAGCTGCCCACCCTTAACGGCACGGCTTGGACCCCGAGGGCACTCCTGCGGCAAGCTGCAGCGAAGTGACAGGTCCAAGCCCCGTGTCACCAAAATGCCCCTGGACAACAGAGGCAGAGTAACAGTAATAATCAGTAATACTTAATGGTATAATAGTAATAGAAATAGAAATAGTAATAGAAATACTATATAGTAATAGTAATAGTAATATTAATAGTATTAGTAGTGGTTATAGTAATAGTAGGGTTTCGGGGGCCGTTTATCGTTGAAGTCAAACTTAGCTCCTGAGGAGTCGGCACCGCCTGCTGCAGATCCAGCTTGTGCCGAATCAGCTTCAGCTGCAGAGGCGTGAAGGTCCTCATGGGAGTTTCCGAAAATAAGGGGGTACCTTATTTGGGGTTTAGGGTTTAGAGTTTTAGGGTTTAGGGGAGTTTCCGAAAATAAGGGGTGCCTTATTTGGGGGTCCTTACACTAAGGATCCCACCATTCAGGGTACTACACTAGGGTCCCCTATTTTCGGAAACCCCCTCATGACAAGGCAAGTTGGCGCAAGCAGAAGGGAACTGTCAGGAAGGAGCTGGCTCCCCCAAGTACCAGAAACCCATACTTTCTAGTAGGGCTCCTTTGAGACACTGGGGCTCAGATCTAACAGTTCAACCCCAGCAAGGTAGGCCACGGTAGGCTCGGAATGGGTCGGGAGTCCTAGTGGCCACATAGAGTGGGATAAAGGGTAAAAGTATAGGATTAAGGATCATAAACCCTAAACGGCCCCAAACCCTCGGAGCCCTTTGAGCTCCTAAACCCTAAATACCCTTGGAGCCCTTTATTTAAGGATCCTAAACCCTCAAAACCCTTAGAGCCCTTTGAGTCCTACACCCTAAACCCTTGGAGCCCTGTATTAAAACCCTCAAAACCCTTGCAGAGCCCTACCCTTTGAGTCCTGTGGCCCCAGAAAGCTGCCAGGCCAGCGCCGACGACCAGGCTTAGGCCGACCTTTGCTACTCGGACGGACCCCCGGAAATTCTAAGTAGTCGTAAGGTTGTGAGGGTTTAGGGTTTAGGGTTTAGGTAAGGGAACTTAGTCAGTAGTATATATACGCATATGGCTGCTGTATTTATAGGACTACTCGCTAAGTCCCATGGTCCTTTAAATAGGGCATGACTCATGACCAAACTAACTAGTGTAGGAATCTGATGAAAAATGCCCAGTAAGTAGTGGGTCCATGGGCACCCAAATGGCTCAGGACTCCAAGAAGTATGAAGGAGCTTCTCAAGCAGATTCCTACGTCACTACACTCTCCTGACAGACCCGCAGCCCTAGAACTCCCTCCCAGTGCCGTCGGAAGGACAGCGATGGCAAAGAGCCCCAAGAACCGCCGCAGGAAGGCGCAGGCCGGCGCGGCGAAGAGCGCCAGCAGAGTTGAGAGGTGGACAAAGAGTGGCACTCCAAAAGGGCAAACGGCCCAGAGCGTGGATGGAAAAGTCACCACCAGATGTCCCTGAGAAGTTTCGAGGGCACGAGTTTCGGGATGGCCCTCAGGGCTGAGCAGTAGGAGGTGTTGGGAGGTCACCGCCTGCACCAGAAACCTTGGAGACTCCCTGACCTCCGGGTCTTCCGGCTCAGGGTAGTGCCTTACCTTCTCGGCGATGCTGAGAATCGCAGAGGCGGTTGCCGCAGCTGCTGCCGGAAAGACCCAACCCTCTGTCTGGCACTCTGCATCCAGCTGAGGATGTCCGGTCCCAAAGATTTTGATCGGGACTTGACGAGATCGCTTCAGCTTCACACGGGAGCTATCGATGTTGAAGGACGTGGTCGTCTGGCGGCCTGTCTCCTCGACCTTGCAAGACCGTTGAGGTCGAGACAAAAAGACCTCCATCTAGGGCTCCAGCTCTTTCAAACTAGTAATTGGCATAAAAAAAAGCTTTCTTGGAAGAAGCAAGGGGCTGCGGCGAAAGCACTCGGCGAGCGCCAGGACATGCCGGTGCACGGAAGGAGATGGTGGCCATGCGTGGTGAGGATCAGGCGCCCTTTGCTCTGAGAGACCTCGAGCTTCACATCCTGGAGGGGGACTGTGTGCCTCAGCACTTTACCCGAAAGGCTGAAGAGCCCAAGGGAGCTCAGGAAGACCAGGACCAGGCCGGCAAGGGCTTGAAAGTCCGTTTCGCAGTTTGAGTAGTCCGGCAATGAGGACCTTGGCCAATACCAAGAGCCACAGCCCTTGCAGGAAGACCTCCCCCGCTTATTCTGCATGTGCCCGGGCTTGCAGAACTTGCACATTGAAGCTCCATCTTTCTTGGAGTAGCGGCCAACATCGCACTCTTCACAGCTCCTGGACTCTTCCGGGGCAGCTCGACCGGTGGGACAAGCATCACACTCGGTGAGACCAGGGCCCCCAGCGAAGCGTCCCGGCAGGCATTTGCGGCATTCCGTCCAGTTGCTGGTGGTTGCAGTGAAGCGCCCGGAGGGGCATTCGAGGCATTCGATGGCTTGAGGGAGCCAGGTGAATCTGCCTGGGGGGCAGTCTCTACACTCCGTCCTGGCAGGGCTTGGGGCATAGCGTCCAGCTGGACAAGAAATGCACCGCGATGTACCTTCTTCACCGGCATACCTCCCCGAATCACACTCCAGGCACTGCCTCATGTTGGCTTGTGGGGTAAAGTATCCAGGTGGGCAGCGACCACAAGTGCCGCCAACATCCAGAAAGCTTCCAGCTTCGCATGTCGCAGCTTCAAAGCAGCCGCTGCTCTGCAAGGACCTGCTGTCATCCGGGATCACTGTGGTCACTTTGGTCTTCGGCTCCCCTGCAAAAGCCAGCTGAAGCCAAAGATAACCCAAGGCCCCACGGACTCCATGGCTCCAGCTCGCCATCTCCAGCGGGCTTGAGCCGAAAGGCCAAAGGCATCCGAGAAAGTCGCGCGCTCTCTCCACTTTCGCCTCAGGCTCTTCTGGGCTTCTCAAGTCAAGAGATCCTTCTTTCCGGGAAGCCGGCCTGATGCAGCGTCGCAGTCGTCGGCTTGCAACGCCTCATCCCTGGGGGTCGAAAGCCTGCAGCACTCACCAGGTCACAAACTTTCCCGCCCCTGACTTTCGCCAAGATTGGGCCTGGTCGTCGAGATCTGCATCGCCTGGGCCCATGAGCAGGTCTTGAGCCCAAGCCTAGAAGACCCCGCGGACCCCCGAAAGTCAACCCAGGGATCCTTGGACTCACAGGAGCAAAGTCGGAACTTCAGTGTTCAAGCAGATCAATGGCTCAAGATCGCCTATCAATCCGACAGCGAAGCTGCAGTGATGAGATAGACCCAAGATTGCCATCCAACCTACACAACCATGTACATGCAGTTTTTGTGGACATATATACCGGCAAACATCGAACTTGTGAGATTTTCGGTGTGGACCTCAACCGTCTATCCTAAACCCTTAAATCCCTAATCCCCAGCCAGTGGACAACACGAGAATTTCAGGGCTTCGTGAAAGCGCCGTGCTGTGGCCTCGGAGGCAGGTCGAGCGAGGTCCCGCGCCTGGGCCTCGAGAGGCCAAAGGTACAAAGCTTATTGGGGCAAATACGGGTGATGATATAAATCATGCAGTACCCAGAACAAGGAATATACCACAATTCCCTCAGTTTAGGGTCCTTAAGGTAATGCAGGATTTATATCATCAACAGTATTCCGGTAGAGTAGGGCTTCTCTACGAATTCCACAAAGAGCTGGATCAGGGCTTATCAGGTCTTGCCTCGGGGCCTTACCAGTTGCACTTGGGGGGTTGCTCTACGATAACTTGAGAGGGACTATTTCCAATTATATCTAAGGGTTTTAGGGTTTAGGGTTCAGGGAATTGTATCTAAAAGGCAAGTAAACATTTAGTACAAAGCCTGCTTCCTTCTCCTCGCGACGCTACGCATGATTCTGCGATGCTGCCCATTCTGCCTGATGACTACGTCTGCGCGTCGGCATCACAAAAGTATGCAGCAAACTGACAACGGCAACATTCTGTAGCACTGACAAAAAACGACGCAGCTCCCATCCCGATTCAGCCCACTTTCCGCTGGAATTGCGGGCTCCCAAAACCGAATCCCGGTCCGTAGCAGGATGATGTGCGAAGCGACCCAAAGATGCCCTCATTAAACCCAAAAGCCAAAACCCAAACCTCAAAGCCCTGAGCCTAAGCCTCCATTTAAGCCCTGATTAAGCATCCTATCCGAAAAAGGCCAGCCAAAACCCTCAACCCAACAACCTTCTCAACCCTGATAGAACCCTTATAAACCCTAAGCTCCCCCAAAAAGGTGAGCCCCTCCAGCAAAAATGACCTCATAGAGCCGGCTCTCCAGCGGAGCTCCGCGGGCGGGGCCTCGCGAAGCTCCGTGGCCGACAGCCGAAAGGGTGGCTTCACGCGGCTCATGCGGCGTCAACGGGAGTATGGGCGCCATGCAGTTTCATACCGTGTAGAAGCTGTTAGGATTCAGAAGCTGTTGTGAGTGCTGTACAGACTTCTAGAAGAGTTTTAAGTGGGTGTTTTGTCAGGCCAGGGGGCTTTTTGAAGACGGTTTCCTTAGGGTTGCTGCAAGGGAAAATTCTAGGGTTCCAAGGCTAGGGGATTTCTGTTTCTCTCCTTCGTCGACATGCTTTCGACAGGGTCGTGAGGCGAAGATGTCTGGAGGTTGGGATGGACATCATCATTCCCTCCGGGACCTTCCTTAAGGCTTGCACTTGGAATAGCAACAAACACACCCGACTGCGGTTATGGATGCCGGTGACAATCAGAGGAGGAAACTCCAACCCTTCGCCCTCCCCGCACCTCGCAAGCACCTGAAAATCTGTCACTGTAGCTCAGCAGCGAGCAGGGACGGCTGGCCAAGAGGAGGGCCACGTCATCCGGCTGAGTAACCTGACAAACTCAGCCCGAAGCGACTGTCTGTGTCGTTCGGCCTGTCGTTCCGTACTTCACAGCATGCCTTAAGTCGCTCCTTGCCGGCGAGACACCCGACCATCTGGGACCCGAGGAGGCCCTGACGGCAAGCAGTCAGAGCCTTTGTCTTTCAATTCAGCGCTTTGGGCTTTCTCCGCAGACTTTCACCGAACTCCCCCCCCACAAAAAAGGCCAGGGTGGGTCCGACTTGGGACCCTCAAACCGCCACCCTGACCCCCCCCAAGTGAGCCAAGAGAGCCTCGTGACGCTAAAGCTGGAGGGGCAGGCCGTAAGCGTAGTGCCTTTGCGGGGCCAGTGGCAGAAGACAAGTTCCTAATCGTGACCATGGCCACGGCATGCCACGGCAGCGACGACTGCAGTCCATGATCGTCATACTATGATTCTGGGTGAACGCTTCGTGGATCCGGGCTTGGAGTCCGTCAATCTATAGTCGTAGGGGGAGCACTGGTGTGCCGTTCGGGGCCGCGTTGCATCGCAGTGCATCGCCAGGAAGTCAACGCCTTTTCTGTTATGATGCCGGGTGGCCGTTTATCAAAACAGGGCCCCCTCAGACTCCAACACCACTTCGAAACATCCGGAAGTTTTAGGTCTTCAACAGACGGACTTAAGGCCAGCATACGAGGGCACCCCTTTTTTGATAAACTCTTCAGATGTCTTTCCAGAATCACCTCTGAGCGAAGCCGGTGCCCTGGCAAATATGTTCATTCTAAAATCAGTCAACAAAGCTGACAAACTCTTACGTTTTCCCTTGCAGCACTCGGGGACCTTAGGTACGACAACTTTAATCCATGTTCCCGTCCGCGGCCACATGCTAGGAAATATATGAACAAAAGGTCTCGTTCCTAGCAGCACGATCTCTCTCTCTCTCTCTCTCTCTCTCCCTCTTCTTCTTCTTCCCCCAGGCCTTCTTCTTCCTTCAGGCGAAATGGGCGGGTCAGGCCCCCGGCCCTTGGGGCCCCCCGCGTTTCGCAGGGCTTTCGGGTGGAGGCAGCGCTGACACCCTTACCAGCGGGACCACAGGTCTCTCTCTCTCTCTCTCTCTCTCTCTCTCTCTCTCTCTCGCTCTCTCTCTGTAGGTAGCTAGATAGAGATATTAGACAGGTACATAGATAGACAGATGAATAGATAGATAAGCAAATAGATCAATGCTAATATAAACCACGAACTAAACAAACGAATACGTCGACAATTAAACAAAGAAACAGCTTGCTAGATAGTCAGTTAGATAGACAGATAGATGGACCTCTGATATACACATACACATACACACACACATATATATATATACACACACACATACTATATGTATCTGGATCTATATCTATAGCTACATAGAGTGTATATGCATATATATATAGAGAGAGAGAGAGAGAGAGAGAGAGAGAGAGAGCGAGAGAGAGAGAGAGAGAGAGAGAGAGAGAAAGAGAGAGAAGTGTGGTTTTCACTACTAGTAACTAGTATTCCCAAGCACGCACTAACCAAGTTTTCTACCGAGCCCTACCTACAGCACCAACACCCTAATACACACCCTACTTCACCTATGTCTACTATATGTATACATTTACATGCAGAAGAGAGACTTACTTCATTGTACTATTACGACTGCTAATACGATAATAACAGTAATAGCACAGTTTATCTGTTTGTTTCAGGCTCAGTGACCTGACTGGCTCGGGGCTCCAAATCCGGCAAACTGCTGCATATGAAGGCCTCAAAATATAGAATCTGTTTTTTGGGGTATACCATATCGAACCATCAAGGGTTTTGTACTATCTACGAGAACCTTGAATCTGCCTGTTTGGCTTCGAGGCTTAGTTGCCGGGCACCGGCGATAGCGCATGGGCGTTACATTTTCAAAGCCAGCGTCAGAGGGGACTGCACCCCACTGTCGAACACGACTGTACAGGCTCGCAAGCCAGGAAAATGAACTCGCAGGAAGTTCCTAAGTGTCGACGGTGCAATCTGTTGTTTCTGTTTGGATGTGATCTTTCCGTCTACGACGACAGATACATTTGCGCAAAGCTCTCGCTTCTGCATTTCTCGCAACGGCCTACGAAACGGCTGAATGCAATCACCGAAAAAGTCGATTCGTCCGTCTACCGAGCCTACTAGGGGCGAGGGCTGTTAGCCGCCGAAAGGCAGCTTTGGAGCGTGGCTGGCTGCAAACGATAGAAACAAAAATAGTATAGGCTACTGTAGGGCTAGTACAAGGCGTTCAGAAAGCGCTCTGAAAGGGCACCATTTAGGGTTACTATACGGTGCTGTGCTCAACATGTCACAATATCTCCAGACATTTGTTCACAGCCAGGCTTTGAAACACAGCCTGCACGCCTGCCACCCACACCAAACTTCGGCAAGGGTACGAAGCTAAGCTTGATCTGTCGTGCTGAGAGTACCTATAAGGCTCCAAAGTCACATGGGCACAAGAGGATTGCTAGAAGATGAAAGTCTCGAAAAGCTCACAGGATCGGAACGAGTCTGTGGCAGGGCGGCAAGGGGCAGACCTCTAGGCTTTCATGGCCACGCAGGTGGCGGAAGCTCTCAAGACTGCACCACACCTCTGTCCACCTTGGTGCCCCAACTATACCGTAAACACCTCGGGGGTAGCATTTTAAGGAGCCTTGTCAATAGATTTGGGATGCATCCACACGAGTGTTGCGGCGAACGCATACCCGCCCACACAGAAGCAAACCGTGCGAACTTGCTCAAAGATC